CCTTCCCGGGCGCCGCGGCCGCCGCCGGGCGCTCCGTGTACGGGGGCGCCGAGCTCGTGTTCCCCGAGGCCGTGGGGCACCCGGCGCTGCCCGTGGCGCCCCCGCAGCTCCCGCCGCCGCCCGCCTTCTTCGGGCCGCAGCACCGCGACCCGCTCAACTTCTACCCCTGGGTGCTGCGCAACAGGTTCTTCGGGCACCGCTTCCAAGGTGAGCGGCGCGGGCGCCGGGACGGCCCCACGCGCGGCGCAACGAGCGCGGCTGTCACGGCGCGGCGGGGCGCGCGGGGCCCTGCGGCCGCTGCCCCGAGCGGCTGCGCGGCCCGGGCGCCTCGCGGAGGGAAAACCTGTTGCTGCGGAGCCGCCCGGCGGCAAGAGGCGGCCCGGGGACACGCGCACGGACACGCGGGCACGGGGACACCGCGCACGGGGACAGCGGGACACCGGCACACGCACGCGTCTGCAGCCGGGCTGCTCCCGCACACGCGGGTGTCGAGACGGGCCGCGTTGATTTGCACGCGGGTGTTTTTGCACCGAACGCACCCGGGTGTTTTCGCACGCGCTCCCGGGGCCTCCGCGCGCGCGGGCCCCGCTGCCGGTCCCGCTGCCGGTGCCTTCGCTCCCGCCGCCGCCGGGCCCTGGGCGGGCGCGGAGCCCCGGGCCCCGCAGCCCTCGCGGGGCGAACCCGCGGACAGAGTTTGGGGTTTTCCTGCTCTGAAATGAAGGGAGAAATTCCCCTCGATCTCCGCTCCAGAAAGCGGCTTCTCTGCCTTTCCTTTTTCCTCTTTCGTTTCTTTCTTTTTTTTTTTTTCTTTTTTCCCCCCTTTTTGTCTTTCTTTCATTTTCCCTATTTTTCCTTTCATTTGCCCCCTTTTTTTTTTCCTTTTGATTTTCTATTTTTTCTATCATTTTCTCCCCTTTTCTTTTTTCTTTCATTTTTGCTCCTCTCCTGTTTCTCATCCGTTTCTTTCCATCTTTCTGTCCTTTCTTCATCCTTTCTTCTCTGTTGCTTCTCTTTCTCCTTTCACGTTCCTCTTCCCCTCTCTCCTTTCTTCTCGTCCCCTTCCCTCTTCCCCCCTTCCCCGTTTCCTGCAGCTGCGACGGGGGCATCGGGCGCTCGGCGGCTGCGTGGCGGCTGCTGCTCCGCACCGGGCACCGCTCTGCACCGCGGCCCGAGCGTCTGTGCGTCTTCCCTTTCCTTCTTTCCAACCCCTTTTCTCACTCTCTCTTTCTCTATCACTTTTTGTAGTTTTCTGTCTCTTTCTCTGCTTAACTCTTTCACCCTCTTTCCCTCTCATTCTCACTTCCTCTTAGTTTAAGCATTTTTTCTTTTTTTTTTCTCTCCCTCTACCTTGCTTCCTCTTGCTTTTCTGTATTTATTTCTCTTCTCTCTCTTCAACTCTTCAACTATTTTTCCTTCCTTTCATTTCTTTCTCTTTCTTTC